CTTATTATTGTTATTATTATTATTGCGATGTAAGTGCGATTTCTGTGACGGTTTCATGATAGACAGCTGATTTTATTTCAATACCGATCAACTTTTTTGCAGAAGTGCAAAGATTCGTGTATGGCATTAACGTAACGTAGTTCTTGTCTCGAGAAAGGAACGAGTTGTTTCATTAAACACACGCTGTGCCTATGAAACGTTACATTTTAAGTGTGTGCCGACACGGTGCGTGACGACGATGGTTCCCACAATAAAGAAGCCAGGATATGTTTACCAATTATACATATGTATATGCGACCACAGGAACGAACACGTCCGGCGTGATATTGCAGGAAAAACTACTGGCTTTTGTTTAAATTGTACATAGAAATTGAAATGATATCGTAAAAACTGAGGTAGAAATCCTTTGATTCTCTGTGAAATATAGAATATCGGAAAGCACGACGAATGGCGACCAAATTTTTCCTCTTGTTTACCACGCTGATTTTTACAAACACATGTAATAATTATATTGATAACATCATCATGTAATTAAAATATTTTTTTTACACACGAAAAAATCGATATGTTCGTAAAAGTACATAGAAATAAAATCTAATATAGAAGTTTGTACTGTAAGATTAAGTTATTTATTATTTTATGTTTGAAGATTAGAAGAGGTCACTTTGGGTGCAAGCTGAAATTTTGCAAGCTGAAATAATATATTTCTATGTAAAATTAGTTGTTAAATCCGAAAATGATAAAATTAAAACCATTGGAGAAGAACAAAATTGTAATGCATTTTTAATAAAAAAAAAAATGATTCAAATTTCTCCCCTTTTCGGCCTTCCTACGATTTTCTTTGTAAATTAATAAAAAAGATGTGATAATTACTTTTTAACATGTTCCATGTCGCGTGAGTTACTGATGATTCACACTATACTTTTCGTTCAAATAGCGAGGCTATAAAAACACATATAATCATAAGATACTTTTTAATATCATGCATGAATATATAATTATAACGTATGTAATATTAATATCATTGATCATCAGTAACACACACGATTCTGCGAGTACGATTTTACAATATCAAATACTTATCGTAATCTTTAATTTCATGCTTTATATTTGCGAACTATGTTTTGCGATTTGCGAATTATGTAGAAGCACTTTAATACGTGGGTCATCGGTGATCCGCACAGCTTAATAGATAAATTATCAATTATTTAATCGACACAGAATATGTTTAAAAAATTGGAAAATTGAGTGATTTTTTTTACTAAAAATGCATTTTTTATTATTTTGCTCTTCTCCAATGGCTTTAATTTTATCATTTTCGGATTCAGTGATCAGTTACAAGAAAACACGATTTTTAGATAATCGAAATATTTCATCTACCGCGGCCAAAGTAATTTATAAATCTCACATAATGTGCATAAAAATACAAATGATGGAACGTATTTTTATGTTAGATTTTGTCTCTTTTATATTTTCACTGACATATCGATTTTTTCGTGTGTAAAAAAAATTACTTTTTGTTGCTCGATATTTCTAATATAATTATCACATATAAAATACATGTTTATAAAAATAAACACGATAAAAAAATTTGATTCTTATAGCTCGCGTTTTTGGCATTCTGTATTTTACAGAGAAAATAGAGTTTTATTTTAGTTTCTATTCAATTTAAACAAAAGCCAATAAGTTTTCTTGCAATATCGCCAGACATGTTCGAAAGAAATGCTGTCGCGTGTGTAATTGCGTCACAGGAAGGATTTTACATATTAATTTTGATTAATGTATAAGTGCTTCTTTTTTCCTTTTATAGAATCAAAACTTAGTAGAGGGATAGACAGATAAAAAAAATAAATTGCAGCAAAGATGAATATTAACAATTAAATAGCTATCTCTATACATTTTTAATTCATTTGATTCTTCATTAAGAATCTTTATTTTAGCTTCGACTGTTATAGGCATTTAATGATTAATTCTCCATTTTTGTATTATTCTATAAACAAATTTTTTAAAGACAAGTTTGATAAACATACTATAAAGCCAACAAACATTAATAATTTTGCACCAAAGAATAATTATTTGTAATAGGTAAAAGTATATAATTTTCTGCCTCTCTTCTATACTGGTGAAAGTTTCTTACATTAATACCAACATATATACAGACCAACATATACAACAATACAGAGGGCAGCATTTTATAGTGTTGTAAGATAAGTTTATCAAAGTTTCTTATTTATAAAATGTTTTCGCCCAATAATTACTGTAAAATCCTCGTCATATTTTTTTTATAATCAATATATTAACTCAAAGGTATTCTTTGGTTCAAAAACATAAACATGCTTTTATATCTGTTCAACATCCCTCGTCTCGTTCAATCTTGTCTTTTCTCTATAAAGGAAGCAATTCGCTACATGGGGTATCAAAAGTTTCCCAGTCTATAAAAAATTTCAGACTTACCCTATTTACAATTGGTCTCCATCCCCTTCGAAGTAGTCCCCTTGTGATGTGATACAATAACCTCAACGCTTCAGTTATGCTTCACACGCTCTCTGGAAGTCTTTTTTCTGTAACCCTTCAAGCACTACTTGCCATTTGGCCTCGATCTTCTATATCGTCTCCAAACGTTGCCCTTTGAATTTCATTTTTGTATAAGAACAAAAAGGTGTTATAAAGGGGTAAAGTTGAGTACGGAGGGTGCGAGACGACGATGGCGTGTTATTTAGCTGCTAAAAACTGTGTTTCTAAGACCGGAGTTTCAAAACCTTGAAAGCGAATTTGATATTATTCTAAATAACGTTGAAATAGTAAGAATCGATCTGAATCTGGCAGATTCCATATGAAATTCCAACAATGTCATAGATAGCACAACGGTCCTCACGAAAAACTTGTGCAAGTGAGCTCATCGTCTTCAACTGACTCTTTTTCTTTAATGTGAATGCCGTTCAAAGCTAGAAGTACCTACTGTTAGAGCTTTTTCGATGATCGTCTTTCTAATTGTAAATATCACCGAAGGGTGTCAGTTGCGAAGCAGTGCATCGAATCCGTTTCTCTGTATAGGTCGGTGTTACTTACAAAAAAAGAATTTTTAGAAACGTTTAAAGAATGGCAAAAACAAATGACTAAGGCTTGCACCAACGTTATTTTGACTTTAAGCAAGACTTAAAACTCTCTCTGTCTCGTTTTAAAACGAAAGAGACAGAGCGTAAAGGCCATGGCACACACCTTCTGTAACAATAGAGTTTTTGCAATACCGTTTATCCAGATACGGTGAACGCTAATCAGGTTATCTCCTTCTTAACAACTAATTAAGAAAAAAATAAGGTGACTTTAACGTTCACCATATCTGGATTCACGTTATTGCAAAAACTCCCTAATATCCATAAGACGTACCGTAAGAATCAATCAATCACAGTAGAGAATTCTTTTGAACTCTTAATTCTAATTGCCTGATTCTTACGTATTTCTTATGGTTACTGTTACGGAATGTGTGTGCCATGGCTTGCTTAAAATCAAAGTAACGTTGGTGCAATCGGGCCTATGTTTCCGAGGGGTTCTCATTCGACTGTAAGAGGGGAATGCTCGATTGTAGTTGGTTGGTTTTTGCATTTTGACCTGGTACGAACCCTCGGTGGAAACTTAGTCACTGACATCGCCGCTAGTTATTCTTAGTTTGTCGCGTCGCATGCTCCAACATGTTCCAATATGCTCCTACCATAGCTCTTATTCACTCCAACGCGCTTGATAGAGTGAGTAGGTAATTAGTGAGTAGATAATCGAAGCGAAAACAGAAAAAAAGATTCTATTTTCCAATTTTTTATTTTTTAAACAATTTTAGTTAGTATTATTATAATTAAGGGAATTGGCGGAATAAAAGCAGAATTCTACTTAGACCCTTTTTCCGAATATTAGCGCAAATAAACAAGGAATTGATGTTGCTTACATTAGGTAAATATGAACGTGTTTCGATTGTCCTGTGGTGGTGAAAATAATATAATCTATGGAAAAAAGGCACAAATGATTTAAAATCATTAATGAGATTTTTCAGAGACTGAACGAAAATGATATGTTTCCATTACAACATATTTTTGTTAAAAAATCTTACGAAAACTCATTAGATGATGATCGAACATTATTTCAATTTATTTTGTACAAGTAAAAGTAAAATGTATTTCATATTCATTTTGTATTTCTTCTAGAAGAATGTGAAAATAAAAAACATTTGTGCAGTTCATAGTCTTTTCTTTTAGTCGATTCTTACAATATTATGATCAATATTCGGAAAAAGGGACTAAGTGCATTTTTTAAATTGCAAATAACTTTTTAAATATTGATTATAATAGAGAAAAATATTATAACATATAACTTCTCAAAGACATTATATAAATATGCATTTAATACTGTTCCCATTCGTGGTATAATAAAAAAGTATCAAGTTATTTTAATTTTTATCAAAATTTTGTAATTAGGCCTTTATTCCGCCAATCCGCTCAATTGGTATTATTATAATTAATCTATTTTATCTTCAAGTAAAATTGTTTTTTTCTTAATTATACAAATATCTAGCATAGCGTGCAACATCAAATAATATTACTTAATTGAAGGATAAAAAATTAATAGATAGCAATAAAAATAAAAAGACTGGCCGCACGATTATGAATGAATTAAATAAAAAATATAATACCAAAAAGTTTTTTTAAATTCTGAGTTGAATAATTATTCAGTAAAGTTATTCAACTAACAATAAATTATATATCTCATAAGAATAAAGCATATATATGCAGAATGGAGTTCAGGAATATTCAAGTATCTCGAAATCCAATGAAATTTCGACAATTAGAGATTTAATCGCGTGATAAAATTAAATTTAATTCTATTATTTTCGCAGAAACGTAAAAGTGCCTGTGTTCTTATCTCATCTCTCTGCCGTGCAAGGCTAAACTTCTAAACATCTCCCTGAATCAGAGCCCTGGGTTCACCAGAGAGGAGTGCCACTGTGCCAAAACGCCATCTGTACGTTACTGCGAATATTGAGAGAGCTAGAGGGGCCCTTTCGCAGCGGACGAAATTAGTCGTAGGATATTACGCGGCTGTTCCTTACAGAAAAAAATTATGATGGCAAGCAAGGCTTGGAAGGTCAGTACTGCGGATTCTCGCTGGAACCGGATCACTTCTACGGCGTGACAACGCGCGGAAAGCGACTATCATATTCCCGCGATATGCGACTCGGCCACAGGTACTGACGCCGTCTTTTCGCAGGTAGTCCAGCCGCATGTGCCGATGATCAAGTTCCGAAAGGGTGGCATCGATCTCGCAGGTAACGTAGACACAAAATCAGCATAAACGATCGACGATCGTCGATCGTCCGCGCGAAAAATAATATCTCCGCCAAGAAATCCGTGTTCCATGATCCACGTTGTTGGTTATCAGTTGCTGGCACGTCGGCCGCGCCATCTACGCGACCAGGATCGGCGCAGATGCAGCAGAGCGCGGGTGGTGCGACGGGCCCCCAAGTGGTCGTTCTGCCGACGATAGAGGACATTCACTTGCCACCGCGATATCAGAGACGGCCGATAGATCAGAAGGAAATAGAATATATCAATGTAAGTTTCGACGGTTATTTGAATGCAAATTATATTATGAATCATGTATAGTTTAGTGCTAGCTTAATATTTATGATATGTAATGTAATATAATTGTAATGTAAAATATATATAAAATTTATTTATATTCTATATATTTTATATATTTTTTATTTTATTTTACATTGAATCTTGTGTACAGATACTTGCTTGTTGCTTGTTTCAGCGTGGCGGACCAGAGTGAGTTTGCAAAGCAAGCATTTAGGATACTGTAAGCTCTATACTTAGGTAATTAACTTTGTTATTGACCGACTTGGTGTAATGTGTTGTTAAAATAAATGGACGTGACAGAGAGTTCCCGCGCTGTGAGAGTATAATTATTTCATATTTACCAGCCATCTATCGGGCAAGGTCTCTTGTGAGTTGTGACATTGCCAGGGCCTGCTATTTCTGGCACAACTTTCAGCTCATTCCAATAACAGCCGATTCTTATTAATCCGGGATCTACGACAATAAAATTCTAATTAAATATGTTATTTTGCAATTTTCTATTTGCGTTTCACATGGCTTGAGCGAGAAGAGATTATTTCTCAATTTCCTTTTGCGATTTTCTGAGATATAAATACTATGGGACCTAAAATAAATCGTTATTCTTGATTGTTTTTGATTCATTTCTGTTAACGAAACAGGGGCGTAAAATAACAGTCCAAAATCTGTGATTTAAAAGCCGGATTAAAAATGCTCTTTTACATTTCTGGGTGCAGTAAAATTTGAAAATAATATTATGTAATAAAAGAATTTTTATGAAATTATTATTAATATATTATTTATTCTTATTTCTCTTTTCTTTTCTTATCATCTACATCTAAATTAAAAAAAAATCTTACGTTTACTTGCCATTAACAATTAGTGTAATTTTTTTGGAACTATAGAACTCGAGATTTATGTGTGAAGCATTGTCTTCAAACATTCAATTTCAAATAGTAAAACTTAAGTGATACATATAAAAAAAAAACTACCAAACTAAAAACCCAAGTTGTACTATCTTTATTAATTTATATATGATAAGATCTAAGTGATACGTAGTTTTTCGTATTCTCATTGAAGGTCTTCCTATCTCAGTTCAAATAATAGCTTTAATTCCCCTCCAAAAATTATATCGCAAAATTAACTTTAGTAATATGTATCATTCGTATAAAAGATGATATCAATAATTTGATTATCAACAATCAGCGCCAAAATAATTTCCACAAAATTTTAACATCGTTCGTATAAAAATTGATTTGCGCGACAACTGGCGCAAAGTTAAATCCTAAATTTTATATATCGTTCGTTTCAATGATCTTTTTTGTGAGGAGCACAAGATTTCGTTGGAGTAATTTTGGAGAGTCGCATTTGACACTTGGAAAGAAGTGACGTATCGGGCAAGATTGCCTCGTTACGGCCCTGCTGCGACACGACGAAAATAGCAGACGACAGTGCGCTGCGGCTGCCGTCCCGCTGTCCCGCCCCCCTCCTCCTCTCGACATCTGTACGCGGAGGAAGCGATCCGTTCATAGCTTTATCGAAGTTTTCTCGAAGTGCGAAATTTTTACGAACGACGAATCCACTGCGAAAATGGCCGAGACAACGGATCTCGGACTGAAAAAAACGTTTTGTATATTCGCGGCCGTGATTGGCTGCTTCGCGATGCTGTGGCCGACAATTCTGCATCCTGTGTTCATAGGATTTGTCACTCCACATCACTCCAGATCGGACGGTAAGGCTCCATGGTTCTACGCCCAAATCCATTGACGACGTTAGAAAAGTCGCTTATCGTTAGGAAATATCGCATTATCATGAGAACGTTATACTTCTTATCTGTATGAAACAACTTAAATTTGAATAAATGAGAATTATTTAAGAAAAGATGATAGAATTGAATAGATAAGAATTATTTATAAGTAAAAATTTTTTTAAAAGATGTATTTTTATATTTTGTAAAATTATTGCTTATTGATTGATTTGAATGATAAGATTCACTGAAGGAGTACTTTATTGTTCATATATTTATGCAGTGTGCTGCGAAGTGATATTCGAAAGCGATGTCACTGCAGTGGACATCATGCAAGAAATGTGTCAAAATATATTGAGACATCATCCGATTGATCCACGCGTGAGAGACGCCTTAAAACTTAGCAAGCTGACCCCTCAAACCGCGAGTTTGTGTAGAGAAGAGGTTCTAGCCAGATGCGGGATAGACTTGTCGTCTTTTCTTGCCGAAAGAGAAAGTTTGGGAAAAACCTACAAACAAGTGTTGGAAGAGATTAGATCGTTCAATAGCTCCCTTTGCCTTAAAATGAATTTCGGTGTGCCACTGTCGCAATTAGGGACACCTCATCTTATTAGATATCATATCTTGATGCCACACAGTAAGAATTGCAAGGATATATAAGAATTGAGTCCCACTAGCGAATTAATTTTGCCATATTACTCAGATATAATTAACTAATTAACCCTTGTAACTGTTTTCCTAATGTGTTCTTGAAATCTGTGAGTTTGTAATTTTTGTAACAGTTTAATATGATATGCTTTATTATGCGAATTAGTTGATTTCATATTAATATTCTTTGATCATACATAGTGGCTACATGGCTCGTAAATCGCTTATATAAAAAGATAATCTTGGAGAATTATGTTTTGAATGCATCACATCATCAAATATATATGGAAAACGGATTTGAGTTGTCCATTTTGCTTTGGCTGAATGCCAAAAAAAATAAGCGTAATGTTTGGCAGACAAGAAGCCTAGTCTATAGACAGTTTCAAATATATCCATACTAATGATTTATTATGTTCCCCTTGTCTCCTGGTTTTCAATGTATATTTTAAATTTTATTAAAATTACCCAGCCTAATACATTTGTAATAATTTTCCTAATTTTTGAATTAATTGTATATTGCAGCAATTAACGCAAGACTCTACTAATCTCTAGAACATCAATATAGAATAAATATGTTTTCATGAATTGAGACAAAATAGCATGTATTTTATAAGCAAGTTTTTTTTTTATGTATGTACAGATGCTATGCCACAAGAACGTCCTACTCCTCCTCATGCAGGCGGAATGCATCCTGCGCTGAGAGAAAGGGGAAGGGCCATACCATCCTCTCATATTATACCAAAGATAATGGATAGACCTGACCAGCCTGACAACATGCAAAAAATGAGACCACCTCCCGGTGGTGCTGGTCACGTTGTTCCAGCACCCAAAGGAAACAATCCCATGGGGATTATTATGCCAGTGTATACAGTAGCAATAATCGTGTTTTTCGTATATACTATTATTAAGGTAATATATGAATTTGTAAAATAATTCTAACAAAATTTTAGAAGCAAAGAAGACTTAAAGTTTATATTAACAGGTTTTTAAGATCAATACCGAAAGTGAGATTATTTCGGAATATTCAGGAGCAGCTGCTGAAAGAGAATTTCGGAGAAAGGTATTCAATCCAGAAGCTCTTGCTGCTGCAATAACTGTAGATCATGCCAAATACTGTACATTCGCCCCATATTATCTAAGAGAAGAGTCACCGTACCCTGCTCCAACTATTGAGGAATTAAACGATCGTAAGTGCTTTTGCAAATATATTTACAATTATAAATCATATTTCATTTACATTATCATCAACGCAATATTTTTATGAGGAGCTAATTCTTTCGGAGAAATAGACTTAAAGATATATGGTTTCTTGAGTATCTAAGGCAGATTTTTAAATGGTGTTGTATGATGCAAGGTTTGCACAATTAGAACACACACGTATTTATACATGCGGATATACATTGCAAGATTCTGAATAAAAATGTGCATATTGCAATTATTCGTACTTATATTCTGAACACGTTTGATAATGTTCTACATGCTGGAACACAAGAAGCAGCAGGAGACATAGAGATAGATCAACTGAGACAACGATTGGTCGAGACGGAAGCAGCCATGGAAAGAATTGTTGTCCAAATGGGCAACATATCACGTTCAGTAAAGCATAACGCGAGCTCTCAGCCAGAAATCAAGGTTTATCAGATTAATTTTGACGCCATTCACAGTTTCAGTTTATTAGTCATTAGAGAAATGTGCACGTCGCTGTGTTCTGATTGCGTTACAAGCTTGACCCATCCAATGTACATTAAACATGTTGTACATTTAATATAAGACCTTATCTTCAATATTTGGCTTTTTCAAATATCAATGCTTGCGGATAACTGTTGCAACATTACAAATTGTTGGTTTAAATATATTTATAATTTATTAATATAAGATTCATATTGTGTACTAGTCAAGTGCAATATTCAGTTACACAAACATTTAAGTCAGAATATGCGTTCGATATCAGAATTCACATTGAATATTTTACATTTTGAGTAGTAGATGGGTCTCCAAAGTCCAATGGTCTGGCAGGGCTCGATCGCGGTTCTAAGGTATATCCCTTGCCTCAGAAAATATTTCTAACAAGAGTAACCAAGAGTTTGTGGACCACTTTCTATTTCCAATGCACTAGTTTCACGAATAATGAATTTATCACATTAAATGTTTCTTAGACTTATATATGATAGTTTCATCATGACATGAGTCTATAGTAACAGTATTTCAGTATTTTAAGTGTAGAATGCTATTATTATTTTATCTTTTACATAAGTAAAGACATACATGATTTGTCTCAATGCTAAATATTGTTGAAATATTAGTGAAACAGTAGTTGCTCCTCCCAGAGCTTCTCAATTACAAGTGCTAATTGTGTGCCTTGCATGATATCTGCTTATTTTACATCTTGTTGATATAGCATATTATTAAGTGTATAAAAGAAAATTATATATATGGATTTCTATGACATCTTTTGTGACTTGTACATATATTTATGTACAAGTTTTTTTTCCAAATAAATGTAGAATTTTTAACATAGCACATTTTTTTTATTCTGAGGATTTTGTTATATTAAAAATTATATATAAAAAAAAACTCTTACATCACATTAATTAGCAAAATGGCTTTGATATTACTACATGTGTGTTATTATAATATTTTTTTATTTAAAAGACGTATAAAAAGAAAAGTAAATAATGAAAGAACAGCATATTAAGAATTTAATTTATAGGAGGACACTGCAGACCAGGAATCACATAGTAAGGAGGATGAAGAATTAGACGTAGCATTAGACGCAGCATTAGACGCAGCAGAACAATCTCCAACCGTTAAAGTCATGGGTATGGAAATGACAGCTAGTTGTGAAAGTGGACAGAAATGTAGCAGACCCACCACTCCCATTATTCCTGCACCAAGGTATTATATTTCCTCTTTTATATTTTTATCCATATTATTAGTATTTTCATGATTCATTGAATTTTATTATTTCTGTTTTAGTAACATTGAAAGAGAAAAAACGCCGCCAACACCTATATATTTAGAGGGTGCACTTCCACCGCAATGTGAATTATTGGTAACCGATTCAGAAACTCAAGCTGAAAAGTCAGAGGACGATGACGACGCTCCAGTTGTTCTCTCAGGCAAAATGACTCTCTCTCTCATCAGTCTCGACCAGATTCCAGCTGTAAGGAAATATTAGAATTACCAACAGAATCAAATGAATCTGCGGAGCCTTGTTTTATTTGGTGATTCTTTCATTCATTTAATTGTTTGCCTAACTTCTGTATAGGTTACTTAATATAGAGATCACAAATCACAGGAACTAAATGCAGAACTAAGTGCAAAGAATGGTTTCTTGGCTATTACATGTATGGGTATGAGTGATGCGCTGATTTTATTGTTTATTATTTCTGTCCCAATTCTCTGTGATTTGTTCGAAATATTAATAACTAGTGTCTTGTACTTCTTATGTTTCACTAATATCTTAATTTTAATATAAGATACACTGGCTTGTTAAAATACAAATTCAAGTTCTGTCAAAAGAATACCAGATGCTGAAATAGATTGCCAAGCTTGAAGAGCGTATTCTGCAACTTGGCCATCTGTCTCATGTAATCTATTACAGAGATAATTTATATTTTATTTTAAAAAATATGTACTTTACATTTATTTAATATTGTTTATGTCCATGTGTTCACACAAATTACTAAATAATTGGTGAATTTGTTTTTAATTTTTGTAATTTTGATAAGTTTATGAATTCTTATACCTAATTTTATAATACTAATAAGATAATATGTTATGCAAATTGCTTTTTGTATATATAAAAAACAACACTATTTATTATATATTCACATTAACATATTAATCATTACAGCTATACAAATAATGATATATTTTATTACATTTGAGATATAATATACATTTAACATTGATATTAAAAGTTTAGTAATTACATAAAATGAGTCACATAATTTAATCGAATTATATTTTTTTACAGTTTATAGTAGAAATAATAGAAAAAATGTTAATTTAATAGTAGTTAATTTAATACCTAATCTTTTATGTTTTTTTTACAAATGCAATAATATAAAATGCATGTATAAAATATAACTGCATTTTAACTGCAAAAATAGAATAAGAAGTTTTTATTTATTTTACGTATAAATTATTCTCAGTATTATTTAATTTACAAACGTATTTAAGGCTGAAACTTTTTATGAAAATATTTATTAAAAAATCAATATTTTGTTTCGCAAAATATTTCTAGTTACATATATTTATTTACGAAATTGTTCAAAAATTTAAACCTCACATCATGAAATATTTACTAATAAAGTAAATTAAGTACTGTGTTTATAAATATTCAAGAATCTCTGTGAACTTTATATTCTTCTAAGATCGATAAAGATCTAAGGTCAGTAGTTGATCAGTTGACGAGAACTATGGCTTCAATGATTAAATTCCTATCCAACGAAAATATTCAGATAAATCGGAAACGTATCAGAATGGTATTGTATTTCACAAATAATGAAGAAATTACTTGTTCAATGTTATTAAGTGAATAATCGATGGAAGACTTCTCGCAGTTAATTTATAACATTATTATTTTATGCTCATTAATATGAAAATTATGACTTTATCTCGTTGTACATTTGCATTTGGATATTTCAATATTATGGATATTATATAGATTAATTAAAATAAAGCTTTTCATACTGTAGCCAAAATTTTTTTACATCCAAAGATAACAAAAGACGTTGAATTGTTTTGTTATTGTAATATTTAAAATTCAATTTAAAATTTATCTTGATTAAAAGTTATGATTAAAAACTGTGACTCATCTCTTATTTTAATAATCTATTTTTTATGTTGAATTATTTATTTTATAATTTAAAATGCAGTTCTATATAATATAAACAATCATATTTGACTTGTAGGATTCAGAAGCTGAAAATCCAGTTAAGAGAAAGGTTTTGGATACTCAAGTGGAAATTAGAGATGTAAAAGATACGAAAAATACAATATTGCAAAAGGAGGAAGATAAAAAAAAAGGAGAAGGAGAGAAGGAGGAACATGGAGAAAAAGTAGAGGAAGAGGAAACTGAAGAGGAAATAGAAGAAGAGGAAAATGAAGAAGAAGAGGAAGTAGAGGAGGAGGAAATTGAAGGAGAAAAGGAATTAGAGAAAGAGCAACTAAAGGGAAAAAAAGAGGAAAATAAAGAGAAAGTAGAAGAAGAGGAACTAGAGGAAGAAGAAAATGAAGAGGAAGAAGAGGAAGAGCCAGAAGAGGAAGAAGAGGAAGAAGAAGAGGAAGAAGAGGAAGAAGAGGAGGAAGAAGAAGATGAGGAAGAATATTAAGAAGAAATGGATGAGGACAAATTGGATTAAAAGTTTAAAAAACATAAAGAAAAAGAAATAAAAGTAAAAGAAACCAGCTAAGAGTGAAAAGACTTTTAAAAGTAATTCTGTTTGTTCAGATGGATCAGTGTTTACCAATCTTTAATAAGTCCCTTTATTATAATGAAAATAACTATGATTATCTCATAATATATACGTATATATAAGAAAGCTGGTTATGGTAATATGGAGATGCATAAACTGTTGGTTAAGCACTGCCAGATACCTAAAATGTTATATGTATTACATTTCCGGTTTTTTTAAATCACTATATTTGACATTTTATAGAATTGTAAATTTATTAATCATAGGGGCCAAAAGAAAGAGAGGCAGTGCTGTCTGTGCCACAATGCAATGATGACATAGATACTTCGACCTATTACATTATTGTAGTTATAAACTTACGATATCTGTTTGAAGAATGCCCAGTAGATAAAAATAACAGAAAGAGTTATGAATCTGTCCAATTGTAGTATATAATATACATGTCAAATTCGGTGATTGGCAAGCACTGATACAACTTTCATAAAAGCCAAAAATCTTTTTTTGTACAATACAGATAGAGTTCATTCTATTTTGCCTTCATATACTAATCATTGTTTTATGAACGTTTAATTTTGTATTGTAGGATTTTAGTGCTTTATTTTCAATTTTTACATTAAATTTGATAATAAATGCTTTCTAATTTCTGTATTTATTGTGAAATATAGAACGTTTTGACATTTTTATGTTTCTGATTTGAGTTTGTAAATACAAATTAAAATATATTTATTTAAAGTATATATATATAGAAAATTAATTTTATTATTAAGAATCAATTTTTTTAACAAATATATTTTATCGTACATGAGCACTAATAATTTATAAGAACAGTTTTGAAAGGTAGGATATATTTTCTATTCTTAAATAATTTATAATATCAAATATATAAGCTTAGAATTTTATTATCTTCATGCTTTTACATAAAAATCAATACAGTAAAATAGTAAAAAGAAAAGACATATAAATGATTGAATAAAAAAATATGCAAATTTATTATAAATCATATAAAGGTATAGAATTAATCAATATTATAGGCAGATATATATGTAACATCTACAACATTCTTGCTAAAACTATATTTTATATTGCATGAAAATGTTATTGTTTTCATAATAATATATGTTAAAAGCATGAATAATGTTAAAATGACTTAATTAAACAAAGCAGGATATCCTTTAATATTCTTCAGTCTTTCATATGTAAACCTATCACATATTTTTGAATTGAACATTACTCAGCAACAGCTGTTCATACTTAATTAGGTCCCATTTGGCTTATATATCCAAATAAGCTCTTTTGTAAGTGGAAGTATTTATATGCAATGAGATAATGAGACTAATAATATTTATATTTATTATTAGAACGCTATGTAGATAAGTCCTAGTGACAAAGCCATATGAACTATTTTGAGTGTAAATAAACTATTATGTAACTTAGATAATATATAGTAGTTATTATACTGATTTTTATTAAAAATTAGAGATACTTGTTCTTATAGTAAAGACAGCCATTAAATACAAGTGCTATTAATCATCCTTATGTAGTGATTAAATATTGTTATTAAAAAATGAATACGTAAGCTTAAAATATATTTAAAATTCTTATCGTATTATTGCTATTTGCATGTAAAATGCTATTATGTTTTATCACATACGCAATAAAAGTTTCATATTTCTGTCATGCAAAACTGCCGATATATGGAAGAGAGAGAAGAAAATGTAAAAAAATTAAAATTATGAAGAAAATATATGATAAAACGGGATGTCTTTTTTTAAATTTCTGTCAGAGAGAAGCCTTAGAGCGGACATCCGGCTATCATTAGCGCACCAATATCTACTTTAGCGATATGGAAACAGTTTCGCAAAATAAATGTGGTATTACACATGATATAATATCATAGCACTATACCTAGGTAATATACGGAATTTTGATGATTCCACAAAAAAGGTTCAAAAAAGCCGGAATGTTATAAATTTTGCTTAAAAAAGAAAGAATAAAATAAAGTTTTTCTTTTCTTAAGCATCGTATAAATACATGTAGAAATTTTACTGCATTTTAATTTTACATAATAATTATTATGCAATATTTCTGCCAAGGAAAAAATTACATATAAATTATATATAAAGATTTGTATAAATTATAAATATATTTTCTAAATCATATACATTCACTCGTAGATTAGATTACGAATTTTGTGCTCAAAGATCTCTTTTTTACTTTACACTTGATTTGATTCTGTTAGTTTTGATCTTGCAGCTGCTCCATTCATGACGTCATGATTACCATGAATTCCATACAGGTAAAACAGTACATACATGCATTCAAAAATTTCATCTGTCTCATCTTACTTTTCTTCTCATTTTGCTTCTAATTCAATAGAAAAAAAAAACAATCCTACGTACACATAAAATATTTCAGTTTAAATTCTAAAATATCCTTTTGACAAAATATAAAATTAGCTGCAACATCGAGAAATTTTGTATCTAATAATATAACCTATAAAAAAGATTCTTCATATTACTATATGCCAAATGTTATATGATACTTATGCTGATGCTTGAGATATTTAGAAACAGATCAGTTTCACAAGCAACGTAAGTGATGCTCGATCCCTCACACTGCCGGACCGCGTTGAAAACGGAAGAGCACTTCGCATGTTCTTCCCTTTAAAGGTTTGATAGATGAGAATCCCACGTTTTTTTCGTAATGTCTTAATCGGCATCCCAATCGGGATTGCTTTTTGCGACACAGTCGGATATGTCGCGAGGGTGGAAGGAATCTCCATGCAACCTGCACTAAATCCAGACTTACGGTATCCTGATTACGTGTTTCTGAATCGCTGGACCATCCGGAATCAAGACATACAGCGTGGCGACATAGTGTGCGTTGTATCTCCCAAGGTGCCAAATCAAACCCTTATCAAGAGAGTCGTGGGACTTGCTGGCGATATTATAGGCACGCATGGATACAAGCTCTGTACCATCCAAGTATGGATATGACATATAGAAGTAATTATTGGATATATAACAATGAATAACGGTGCTTGAGCTCTAACAAATGACTGATAACTTAATATCGTTATCCTTTAAATATTTGTAAATTAATTTTGATATGAATACAGGTACCAGAAGGACACTGCTGGTTGGAAGGAGATCACGTTGGACGTTCTATGGACTCTAATACCTTTGGGCCAATATCTCTAGGTCTGGTAACAGCAAAAGCTACTCATATAGTTTGGCCGCCAAATCGATGGCAACAGTTACATTCTACAAAACCCAATCATGAGAGCTGTTAGTTTTGTAAAGAGATTGCAGTGGGAATTACCTGGCACTGTATGCAGGCAAGTTTACCCTCCAAAACTTTTAGAATGAATCTCATTCTGAAGAATGAAATTTCACCCTTAAAGATTGAAAATTGAACCATTTTTTTAAGACTGGCTCAATTTTCACTTTTTAAAGCAAACCTGTCCACTTTGAGCTCCGGAATTAAAACACAAAGTCATTGACGCAAAAAATTTCAGGAACTGTAAAGTGTTGATAAGGGTGATCAGATGCATATCGACACTTTACAGTCCCCAAAATACCCATATGATTTTTTTGTGTCGATGGCTTTGCGTTTTGGCTCTGGAGCTGAAATTGGACAAGTTTGATTTAAAGTGAAATTCCACTCCAAGAATTTAGAGAATAATCATTGCTATTTTAGCTCATTGTTAGTAAAAATAGTTTACAATAGAAATTACTATGTGCAGACATGGCTTAACCATAGGAGATGTTGATAACGATAGTGATAATGAATTGGTTGTTGGCACTGCTGAAGGAGAACTTTATATCTTCAAGGTAAATGTTAATGACTACTTAAAATTAAGCCTTTTAAAGCTGTAAATAATATCTGCTCTTATGTAACAGGGATCAGAATTATGGCAGAAAATCACTGGCCTCGGTCTTATAACTAGCGTAGCAATTGGAGATATTTTTAATTACGGACGTAATGCACTAGTTGTTATCTGCGGAGATGGATGGACACATATATTTTACAGTCCCAGATCTGTTAATCCTAACAACTCTAACATACTTACAGGCCAACATATCAGTAAAGATACAAATGAGCAAGACAATTTCAAAACAAGTACTGGTAAGTCTGAGTTTTATACTTTATGAAATAATAGAAGATTTAGGGAATTCTCATAAGATATATATGTACAGATACAGGAAATTCTCAAAATACAGAACATGCTGACAATACTAATGAAGTTAATGAACTCTCTGGGAAAATGGAATGTGTACATGTACAAAGAATTCCAACTAATACAAAAATAGTGTTGATAGCTGATGTCGACAAAGATGGTGCTAATGAGATGATTCTTGGTCTGACGGACCGTGTTGTGAGATCTTATAGATGGTCGAGTAATGCTGACTTGGAAACAGGAAAATTAGTTGGGCTAAATAAGTGGGAATGCACTAATCAAATAGGAACGGTTACGTTACAAGTATGTCGTATTGAAATATAGATTCCATTATTTTATTATATAATTATTATTTATTTTTTACCTATATTGTTATATTGTTATCTGGTTAGGCATTTATAACAGTAGTTACGCTGAAGCCTAATTACCATTTGCATATTCTTATATTTTCTGTTTCTTATAACTTTATATAAACTTATTGTATGTCAGCAAATTAAATTAAATTATATATTATTTATCAGTATAATATTAATTATTATATAAATAGATACCAAATGATGTCAATACAAAAATTTTTGTTTAGCATACTGCTGATGGTACGCCAACTCTACTGGTTGCACAACCTGGTGGCACATTCATGCGAATTAAGTGCAATCCTGAAGATTGTCAATCAAAGAAAAGTTCCTGCGAAGCTGTAGATTATCAGACATTAGGAATATCTAGGATGCGCAATCAAAATATTTCGACGGAGATCATTGGAGATTTAGAGCCAGGAATAACGCCATTTATTTCCACCATTGAATCTAAAATATCTAGTTATGTGCCTAAAGATAAGTTGCCAAAGCACAATTTCACAGACGATAGCCAACTAGACAGAAAAACCTCCAAACAACCTACATCGCTTGAGTTCAAAAGAAACTACTCACAGCCAGTGTTTCGAAAAAATAGCCTAGATATGGCTGGCGAATATGGTAGAGATTTTACAACAGAAAATCAAGGTCCAGTTAGATTTTATAATCCCGTTGAGTCTTCAAGCACTGATGAAATGGATGGCAACTTTATCGGTGGTAATGTTATTCTCGGAGAATATGATAAAAAAACTATGAAAGAAACATTATTACCATCTTTTACAAATTTTTCCCACAATGATAATGAAAATAATAGCAGTAATAATAATAATAGCAATAATATTAGTAAATCGAATCAACAAAAAGAAATCATAAAAGATGATACAGATTCAAACAACAAAGTCATCAGTGAAAATGCTCCGAAGGGAAAACCTTATGCCTTAGCAACGCTTGATGGAACTATTATGTTAGTACAGGATGAGGTTATTTTATGG